CAGTATTTGAATGAAGTACATGGATAAGAAATATTGAAGCAGGATGTATTGTAACTCGTCTGCCCTGTACTCCCACCTTTAATGCTTTATTACTATTTCTCATTGCCTTTTTTGTATTATCTTTCACAGCAGTCTTCAATTCACATGTTAGTCTTAATATTGCATCCAATCTTTCTTTTCCTTTCCTTTCCTTATTTGTTGAAATTTTTTGTACCTGTTAAATCATGCTAAAAACTGATCCTTATTTCTAATAAAGCCATGCTACTCATGAAGTTTTTTTCCCAATGGCCTGTAGCAGTTCAGTGCTTTCTGCATCACAATCGCACAGTGACTTGAACTATAAATAGAGTGTGGAGAGAGGTTCTGGAGTCATTCTGAATAAAGCGTTTAAAACTGGTATCTGTTGCTGAAGATGCTGTTTGTACTCTTAATGCCAAACTGAAGTGTGACTTGGGCAATTGCTGAACTGGCTGAAGGGATGTAAACATCTCACATGTACATCAGAAAAGTTAAGTAAGGGTCAGTTCCATTTTTTAGGACATGCTCTAAACCATTCATGGTATTATAAAATATGGCTGGAATTTTGTTAAGTTAATTATTGTTAGTAGTTATTATTATTGTTGTTATTATTATTAGGGCTGAGGTAGGATTGTGTTCTCCCACTGTTTTGGGCAGGAGTTTTGCAGCTGCATTTAGCTTTAAACCTAGACCCATGACAGCAATGTCAAATGTAGACTTAAGGCATTTGAGCCTTACCCATTTAGGAGAGAGCTAGATTGTCAGAGGCTGTGGTGTGAGGTAAGTGTTCAGGTGAACAATGTCATTTTCCTGCAATGCTGATGTACACACAGTAGGTAATTACTAGGCTTGTGTAATGCCTAAATCCTTTAATTCTCACTTGATGATATGCATCAAGAAGTTGGAGTACTGCAGTGCAGTCATGTCACCCATTTGATATGCCTTCTTCCAGAAGATGACAAAGAATTTACTTAAGCAGGAGTGGGTGGAGAGGGGACTGGGGGTTGCAACTTAATCAAGGCCTGTACCACTCTAGCCCTGCTCTAAGCAAACCTGTCCATTGTAGCTGGATGAATTTTTGGTTTATTTTTCCTTCAACAAGTTCTAAAACGCATGGGAATGTCTATCCAAGAACTTCTAACACAAGAAAAATCTTGAAGAAAAAGTTAGATGACTTCTTACTTTCCACTATGGAAGTATCTGGTTACTGCTTTGAGTGGACTATATCAAATATACTTTCAAACCAACTGCAGAAGGAAAGTAAAGCTCATGAGACTAATACAAAGTCCCTCTACTGCACAGATAACCAGCATGCAATGAAAGCTGTGCTGCAAGAGCTAGGCCCTTTTTTTCCCCACCCTCTCATTTGCTACATCTTTTTCTGCATTTTCTGGAAGCGAGCTAGCTGCTAAAATACTAGTTACAGAAAGGCTATACCTATACACTTGAAGACTTTTAGCCTGAGCTGGCTTCCAATTTTCATACTTCCAGGTTGGATAAAGCTGTCTGAAACAATTGTGAGCTGTGTAGGCAGGACTTTGCTGCCCAATGATACAGCACCAGCCCCAGGAGGTTCTGTGCCTGTCTGGCAGCAAGAATTCAGGCATTTCCAACATTAGTGGGGATTTTCTGTATCTGCCTTTAAATCTAGGTGCTGGATGCTAGAAAGCTTACCTGTAACTGCAAGCCTTTCACTATCAGTCTTCAAGAGCACAGAGGATTCAAATTTAGAAATGAAAGAATGCATCTTCTGGCAGAGAGGACAAAACCTGACAGTTCAACAAGAATTTCTGCAAGAGCAACAATGAGGGGAGCTGCTTCCTAGGTTAAAAGACAATTGTGAATTAGGCAAACTGTAAAGAACACCATTAATCCTAGGCAACTGATTTTTTTTTTTTTAATGTGTATTTTTGACACAGGCATCAGTGACCACAGACAAGATACAGGCAACAACAATCTCATAAGTCAAATTAGCATACCATTTTTATTTCTAAGTAGGTGATCATGCCATCATCACAACATGTTAACACTGTGTGTGTATTCAATGTGACACTCAAAACTTTCCATTTCCTTCCTGGTTTTATGAGGAAACAGTATCGGGACACAACTGAGACGTGCATCACACAACATGAAACAGAAGTGATTGTAACTTATCTAGGAAGTTATCCAGAGGTGGAATACTCTCCTTCAGGCCTTTACATTTACATGTTTCAGCCACAACTTGCCAAGGACGAGAATTTGCATTGTAAGGATCTCCAGGCAAAATCTGCCAGTGATCAAAGACAAACTGTGGAAAAGCCTGGCCACCAGTGTTGGATCTCAAGTCAGTAGTAAAACCTAGTGGGAAGGAAAAAATAAAAATGAAAAAGGGATGAGCCAGCTACAGGAAAAAATAAAACTGGTTTATTGTGAATTTCTGCATAGACAAAACCCTAAAAACACTCTTCTGGAACCTGGGTAGGTACAGTACTGTTAGGAACCTGCTACTTTGGAGGTAAATTTTTTTCAAGCAGGTAAAAATGAGGCCAACTCCAAAAGAACTGCAGAAAAATCTCGTGTGACCATGTAAATTGGCAATAAAAAGGCAAACAAAATCCAATTTAGGTAGATAGAAAAGTATATGGGGAAAATGATGTTTCATATGTCTCAGGACCTGAATCACTATACTACCACTGAGTTTGAGATCTTAGGGTTATGGTAAATAGTACAGAAGTGTTAGTTCAGTATTCAGAAGCGGTCAAAATGAGAAATCAAGTGCTAATGCCTATTAGGAAAGGAACAGAAAACAAAACATTATGTCCAGTGAAAGCCTGCACCTTTATAATAAAGTTGTGCAGTTGTGGTTCCTTTAGTATAAAAGCAGTTACTGCAGAAAAGGTTCAGAGAAGGGGAATACAGATGACCAAAGCCCTGACCTGGCTTCCACACAAAGAAACACACTTAGCAAGTTCAGACTCTTCGGCATGGAAAGAGCAACAATGTGGCAGGAAGGATATAGAGGGCTAAAAATTAAGCAACATGGATAAAGATCAAAATGAGCTCATGCTCATTTTGATACAAAGGAAGCATCAGTTGAAGCTAGCAGGAGCCAGGTTCAAGAGACAAAAAAGGAGGCAGTTCTTCACATGTCTAGATCGATGGAAGTCCTTGTTAATGCTGTGGATGCTGACGTTTTACACTGAGGTGGAGACTGAGTAACTTCATAAAGAAATCCATCAAGGGTTACTAAATTGATCTAGAAACCACTTCTGCCCCAGAAGGCCTCCGAAAGTGGTTATAAAAAAGCAACAACTGGGGAAGTTTTACACCTGCTTACCTTGTTCTTTCTCTTCCCTAAGCGCTCACTTTCAGTCACTGTCATGAACAAAATGCTGGGCTAACTCGACATTTAATCTGACAGTATAGGAACTTTACATTTAACTAAAGATATATAGGTGTTTCCTTTGCCATTTCCTCATCTTCATAGCATTGTCATCCCCTTCTCCCAAGTGTTCAGTCCCGTGAAGAGCTGCTGCCTGTGAACTGAGACTTTGCTATTGTAGAACCGCTTCTAAGCACTAGTTTATAGGAATACTGATATCACACCATTAGATCACAGCGCTATTTTAGAGGTCCTTTCCAACCTTAATGATCTATGATTGTAAGAGTCAACAGCAGCTCTGGCAAGGAAGCAGAGAGGCAGTTTTGCCGAATATGGATGTTAACGTGCTATGTAAGTTGAGACTGAGAGCCCAGCGTAACACACATCCTACCACGTCTAAGCTTACACTTCCTTTTGTTTTTCCATGTTTGGAAAATGGGTCCCTTTATGAAATTGTTTTAAGTCTATGGAAACTTGGAGAAGGGAAAAAACCCCAAAGTACTCAAAACCCAGCCACACAAACACGTGTAAATTGTTCTTTTAAGAAGTTAAATTGCCAGTTTAGACTTTAAAAGTTAAGCATCTCTTATTTCATCACTGATTATTTTAGCAGTTAGGTACTTTGGCAAAGAAGCCCCCTCCCAAACAAAACATGACATTTCTTGCAGTGTTACCATGTGAGGAGTTCCAAACGCACCCCGTGAAACTGGTAAACTTTCTGTCATGATGTCAGAGGATAATCTTGAAGTGCGTTTTTAAACAGGGAGGAGGGAAATGGGACGCACAAACAAACCACAACACCAGCGGAAGGGCTCTGTACCATGCTGAAAAGCTGAAGGGTCGGGCAGCAGAAGAAGGATCAGATTATTATTTTAAAGGTAGCCTTAAGATTGGCAAGAGGGTGTAAAGCCATTTAAGCTGCTCAGGCTGGCACTCTGTCCTTCTTTTAAAGATTCAAATCAGTACCAGGTTTTCTAGCTTGCTGCCGCTGAAGATCAGTTCTTTCTTCCAGGCTTGCTTCAGAGGAAGACCTTGATTTAAAACGATGAAAACTGAATCTGGTGTACACTGAAAAGTCCTAACGTGCAGAAGCTGCCACATCTTTTTGGCACCCTCTGCTGGCACGAAAGCCCAACGGAGTAGGCTGCCAGAAAAAGGAGGAGTAAACTATTCGTTCCAAACTGAAGATGCAAAGGGACAACAGGAGGAAGCTTGGAGCTAATAAAATGGGAATTCTTAAGTCCCTTTCATCCTTTAATTGCATGTGAGTAACAAAAAAAGCGTTATCCTACCAAGTGACTCACTCACAGGTAGGTACGCCTTGACCACAAGCACTAGAGTTCCTGCCATTTGGGATTCTTCAAAAACGTGTCCCCTTTTCCTGTTCAGAGCACCATAGATCCCACCAACCACTTGTTCTGGGCACTATTAAAAAAAAATTTTATCAAGTTAGGTAAAAGGGGGAGATCACCAGTTATGAAAACACAGGTGGGCAGCATTAGACAATTAGACAACCCCTCTAGACAGCTCTCTTGATGTTTTTCTCATGACGGCTCCTCACCCAGAGAAATTTCTCTCCTGTGTAACAAGTGGCTTCACTCTCACCTCCCAGACATCTTTCAGAAGCTCTGCCTGCCTCCTCTGCCTCACGTGACTGTGAAGTTTCCAGTTACTATCTACACTGACTCTACTGGATTGTAGTTTACATACACAACATAAGGCAAAAGTACATATGCTCAGTGAATGACCTTCATCAGTCCTTGGGCGTAAGAAAGCAGAGTCCTCTAGTGCTTTGTAATAAATGCATTTACCACAGGATGCAAATTTTATACAACCAGGATCTCACCATACCTTATTTTAGAACTTACAACATGACTGACAAGCACTTTGATAAGAACTGTACTTAAAAAAACACATTTGCTTAGAAACATACCACTAAGGCTGCAAAACTCCCCTGCTTTGTCACGATAGATCTCACAAGTCATCGAGGGGAAAAAACTCTCTATTTTGCTGTTTTGTCCTTATTTGCACTCATCTTCTTCAGCCCTCATGGCTAAGACATTTTTTAAGCAACTGAGCTTGTAGATTTCCTGTCCACCACCCAGCACCATAGTCTGGAATTAATTTTTAAATCTTCCAATTACTTTTAAGACAGTTAAGACAAATTGGTATGTGAATAGCTGTACTCGGTGATAAATAAATACTTCTAGCATGGAATATATTTTCCAGGCTCTTTCATGGAAGAATTTAATTTACCAAGAAAATCCAGTTATTCAAAGGACAGAAGTTAATGTTTAAACAGCTCAAAAAAAGCTTATTAAAAAAATAAAAAAAATCCTTGCTGCTCTTTCTGGTTATTTAGGATACCCATTGTTTGTTCTCCTGAATGTTTACAGCGACAGAAAGAAAGGAGGGGAAAAAGAAAAAACCCAAATCATAATTTCCCCAAAAGTACTGGCAATTCATAAAGAACAGCATAATTCACCTTCCCACCTACATTTTGCTGTTTCCATTTAACCTTTTTTCTAACTTTGGAATGAAAAACCTGTCCTCAAACAAAGTTTGCATCACTGATCTAAAGGACATAAAACAGAGCTATCATGGTTTCTCAGAAGAGAATGTGGAAACAAGATTATAGATCCGTTGCATCTCTGTTGTTGGCAGTGTTAGGTTTATGATTGGACTCGATGATCTTAAGGGTCTTTTCCAACCTAAATGATTCTATGAGCTCAAATACAATACCCTGTTGCATACCTGTATTTCTACCAGATAGATGGGCTCCATAAGCCTCAGTTGTGCCATAAGAGTAGAGGCATACAGAACCCTCCTTACAGTAGGAATGATTTGCCCACCACCACAGTTAATAGCATCAGCATGCAGAGTGACATCATGGATATCAAAACGAACACCTCTCATGTTATCCTCACACAAGACACCCTGCAGTATTAAAAGAGGAAAAACAAAGGTGTGATACTACTCAGGAGTTTCTAAGATATGAACCTTCACTTAGCAGGATTCTGACCTAAGTCACTCATGCTGATGCTGACCAGTTATATTCAGACCAAGGCAGCGTACACTATACACACAGCAAAGTCCTGCTAGGAAGGACTCAAATGCTCCTCTAGCATTTGAGAACTCACACTTGGAACAAACATTAAAATACCCACAGACAATGTGTTCATTACATAGGTTGAGTGACATACATTCTTCAGCGGGGACAAATTCCAACTAGCCCACTACCCTGTTCTTATCAGTTATTGACAGTTTCTAAATATTTCAGTAACACAAGATACAAATACAACATACAGAACTACACTTACCTCTTTCATAGCCCACTGGAAACCAGCAACAACACTGTCTTTGATTTCATTTAGATACTGGACACCTTTCGTGATGTCAACTAAGGTATTTGGACTGGTACCATCAGGTCCAAAGCACCAAATCTTACGAGCCTCAGACACATCCCACTCATATTTCTCTGCTAGGTAATGCACACACTGTTTCAGTTCTTGACGGGAACTGACTTCCCCTTTGTCTATGTCCTCTACCAGGCCATCAGGAAAGGGCCGAGCCTTCATATACAGCCTGTTGTGTTTGTTGGGAGATTTGGATAAGCACACCTGGCTTGACTCTTCACCAACTGTCTCATGGTAAGATACAACTGGATCCAATTTCTATCAAGTAGATCAAAGACAAAAATTTCCCAAGTACAAAGCTGATCATTTCTACATACCAATCAAATGCCATTCAATAAACTGCGGCTTCTCCTCCTAAGGCAGTGTGTTAATGACAGGTTCACTCAGTCATCCAGGCATGCTCTGCTAGCTTCATCAAGAGAAACAACATTTTCAGTAGCACATCTATGGTTACCATCATTGTTCAAGTTAGTTTTCCTGTTCACCGGATTTTCTTCACATCTCTGTCTTAATTCTAAGCTCTTTCAATGAACTAATAAATAATTCCTTTTATTACTTAATTGGTTGGTCTCCTAAAAAGCTTCAAATTGCTTTAAGGAAGTTGCTCTAAGGAAACCACCAACAGCAGATTAAAATGATATTTTCAAAGGTTAATATTTAGTCATACTCCATACACTGCAGTCCACAAAAATTCTTGAATACCTTAATTTGAATACAAGCATGATCTTCTTCCGAATCTTTAAGGCAAATTTCTAGATGCAGCTCCCCTGCTCCAGCAATGATGTGTTCACCAGACTCTTCAATAATACACTAGAAGAGGAAATAGTAGGGAGTAAACATTTTAAGAACGTATTAGTATTACCAGAAATACACACAGATTAAATCAGAAACATGTCAGATCCCAAAACTGCTCAACTCCAAGTATTCAAAAATTTAACAAATTATCATCTCTATACTGTTTCCACGAGTGCTCCAGAATGAATCTCCTCACCAGCAAAACTGGGTACTCTCGCATTAAACATAGTTCCTGTCCTACTGAGGTATTTGAGCATTTAAAAAGTGTAAGGAAAAGTACTGCTCAAAAACCCAACATGAATTGCTGCAGATGTTATGTTTTTCCTCAGGATCTTCCTATTCAAATGCTGACTGAACATATCCCTATTTATCTTGTGTTAGCTCTTACAATCACAACTGAAAACCGTTTTGAGCCTGCAGCCATGCCATTAGATCACATAAAGAGCTCTCTGTGAATAAAGTCAAATGTTTTGGGTATTGCACTGCAAACCAGTAGCTCTAAAGCTAAAACTTACAGCTAACACTCACCTGAACCATAGGTTCAGACTTAGCCAGACGCTTTAGACCTTCAACTAGTTTTGGTAGATCAACATAGGTTTTTGCTTCAACAGCAACACGTACAACTGGACTAACACTAAATTTCATCACTCTCGTGTTGTGGGCATATTCAAAGGTGGTAATAGTATCCACCTTCACCAAAAACTGGTCAACACCAACTAGACCGACAATGTTGCCACAAGGTACATCCTCAATGGGCTCAACATAATGACCCATCATCAAAATGGTTCTACAAAGACAGAGGATCAGCAACAATCGTCGAATACTTCTTTTATCCCCAAGTATTTCCAAAAAGCTAAGCCTTTTCACACAAAGGAAAATATTGCTTATTATTTGCCTATAATCCCTCTGGATTACTGATTTTATTAAACAGGAAAAGACGACTCTTATAAAGAAATATAACCCTCATTTCATTAGGATTCCAAAAACTAAAAGAAAGCATTTGTTTTTGCATGGATTGCTATTCAAAAGAAATATACTATTTCCATCTACCTTTGAATGAGTTTTCGGTAAAGATCTTCCTTTTTGCCAGGTATGTAGTTTGGTCCCATGATTTGAACTTTCAGTCCAGTAGAAACAATAACAGAGAAGACTCGCCCAAAAGCATAGAAACACCCCTTATCAGATGTGGGGATCATTTTGGAAATATACATCATCAGAGGGCCTTTGGGATCACAGTTTTTGACACCTGCAATAAAATATGTATCTGCATCAGACACATTTTCTGTGAGACTTCAAAACTATATACACATATACTATATACATATATGTACAGAACTATATACATATGATTCCCAAAATTCAGTGAACCTTATTAACAGCTCCTCTACTTTTCAGTTAGTAAAGGACAAATGTGTGTGGACAGATGAATTATAGCTATGGTAGCTATCAAAGACTCTTTGTTAAGGTAACGAATCATCACGACTGTTGTTTCCTTCAATACTGAGACCTCTGTTAGTACTTATTCCCTGCTTGCCCAAGCTTCCCCCTTCTGGTAGCAGGTTCCATGATATCACTAAATCTCTACTAATATGACCTAGTCCCAGGAAAAGTTTTGAATAGGGGGATTTAAAGATCCCCTGTAATCCATTAGAATCCAGAAGACAAAATACAGTGCTAGAAGTTTGCGTCCTCAGTGATCATATGGATGATACGGTCAGAAGCAGGACCTCTAACCAGAAGTCCTGTTCTGGTTTTGCGAGAAAGAGTTAACAGTTTATTAGAGGATTAAACACGTGCCATCACAGATAAGCTTCTCTTCTGCTAATACTGGACTTGAAAATTACTTCAAATACAATTTATTTATTTCAACGTTTGTGGATTTCTGAGGGAAGTGACAAATCTACACAAATCCAAAAAATGCAGATCCTCTTGAAAATACTCAAGTTGATGATCATATTACAGGTGATCATATTACAGATGTATTCTTCAAAACTTAACTCCTTCCTATCATTGTCAGACCAACAGCCCTATATCAGATTCAGCTATTTGCTCTTTATCTAGTCATGATCTCAGCTATACCTTCAGACAACTGGAAGATGGTTCCATTTTTTACCAGATTTTTGTCCCCCACCTTTAAGGTTGAGAGTGAATCAGAGAACAGTAACAACATGTCAGCTACCAGGGGACATGTTAGAAGTGTTTGAAAGTAAAGTATCTTGTTATGATTCTGACTCTGACTGAGGAGAAATCATAGGATTCACTAGGAGACCATAATCAAAGCTGCAGAGAGAATGAGGGTAATGAACTTGCTGCTCCATCCATCTCTTACAGTATATCCAAAGGCTGGTACATAACATATTCCTGCCCATCTCAACCACATGTTCTCTGAATCTAAAATAAATACAATGTGGTTTCACACACATCAGCATCCAGCATATAAGGACATAAAGCAAGTTTTATGTGTAGTACCCCAAGGTTTTGCCTTTGCTTTCTTACTTTTTGTAATACCCTGCTCAACAGAGTCCCAAATTAGTAATTATCATTATAACACAGAAACTTAATCCAAATCCGTTTTAGGCAGTTTTACTCATCTGTGCACTAGGGGTGCTGTATTTTTGACAGCTCCTGGTAAGCTAGGAGATTTTTTTTTTTTTTTACCCATAGCAGCTTCATCATCAGGTGGCCCCTCATAAAGAAGTTCATAGCAGTATTTTTGTGCTGTTACAGGGGAAGGTAGGTGAATGGTGATCATCTGAAGCAAGGCATCTCCAGCAGGCAGCCAGTGGCGCATCACGGCCTACAGATCCAAAATTCACATTGTAATTAAAACTTGTTTCAACAAACATAATAACCAACACCCAAATAAATCTTTTGGATAGCATGTAGAAGGCTACACCTAGGGATGCAATGTAAAAAGTCATGACAGCCGTTTAAAATTTCCCTATGACTACTTAAATCTTGTTAAATACTATGATTAAAATACTTATCTAGAATAAGCAATTTGAACATAACTGTATGTTTGAATTACTGAAAACCAGCACTCCTTGCATTCTTTTTTTCCTTGGGCTAGTGACTTACATTTCAACAGAAAGGTTAGGATTCTTGGATTATATTAAGCTCCTGAAATAAAACATGAATGTTCTTCTCTGCTGACAACAGATTACAATAGTAGAAAGAAAAAGGTCCATAAATAGTCATATTTTATGGCTGTATCTTCAATATATGGAAGATAAAAGTAAAACCAAATGTTTTATTAAATCTCTGGCCATTTGCCACAGTGATGTGGTTGGATTTCCCTTCTCCAGTAATTATTTCAACAAGTTATTTCAACAAGTTACCACATGTATCCCCTGGGCCCCCTTTTCATGTGGGTTTTAACATACCTGAGAAGAACACGAGTTAGCACAGGAACTGGACATTTCCTTAAATTCTCTGCTCTTAATATTCAGTGCTGCATAGAAAGTGATCATGTGCTTTCCGACATATTACTCCTCAAAAGGTTGACCGGAATTCAGCAGTGTTCTTGAACATATTGGAATTTGTGAGAGCCAACCAGAAACCATGTTTCTGATTACACAGCCACAGCATACATGTGCAGCAACAGACACTTCCTATTAGCATTGCATTTACACCTTGGGAAGAGGGAGGGAGGCAGTACTGGTGGTTTTTTCATGTATGAAAAAATTTTCTCCCTTTTCTCAAATCAAAACAGGTATGTCTTTTGTATGCTGCAACACACTTAAGTCCTGTTATATCTAGCAAATTCAGTGCAATATATTACCAAGCACCTTATTTCAAATCATGACATTCCTGACGTGCAAATTAACAACTGACCAGATGTCGTGGCTTAACCCCAGCCAGCAACTAAGCCAGCCCTACACAGCCGCTCGCTCACTCCCCCCTTGGAGGG